TCCTTTCATTTAGGGTTAGCGTGGATATTCAGAAAGGGGAGGCCATCATCTTATGCCAAGTGGAGTATAAGGTTGCACATAAGCCTTAAGAGAACAGTTGTGTACATACTCTGCATATTTCATAGGAAATGAGGTTTGTGCTCCTCCTTGGGTGAGATTTTAGTATTATAATGAGGTAAAAGGGAGCTCCTGGGTGGCTGAGTCCATTGAGCGTCCTACTCTTAATTTAGGCTCAGGTCAGGATGAAAGTCCTGAGATCAGGCTCCACTCTGAGCATGGACCCTGGTTGGGATTCTGTCTCTCTCTGCCCCACCCCCACTTGGGCACGCTCTATCTCACTCAAAGACATAAAGTTTAAAATAAAATGTATGTGTGAGATGAAGGTAACTGTACTCACTCCGTAGTTTAGTCTATTATGCGTTTGCTTAGGTGTGCGTCAGGGGTTAGTCTCCAACTGTTCTCATCCAAGCTCTTCCTCAGGGCAGTCATTACCTTTTGTTGGATGGTTTCTGTTTCCACTACAGGAGACTATACCCATGGGGAGTTTTTTGTGAAGTAAAAGATAAGATAGAAAAAGAGGTTAAGTACAGTGTGGAACTAAGATCGGTGGGTACAAGCACAAGCATTAAAGTCAGGTCTTGGAGTCCGGCTGGTGACATTAACTGCCTCTTTCATTTGACCTAGCATTATGAACTCTGCCTTGGCCACGTGATAACTGTGTTTTTTATTGCAGGGATTGCTGACATTCAGGGATGTGGCCATAGAATTTTCTCGGAAAGAGTTGGGGTGCCTGAACCACAGCCAGTGGGAACTGTACAGGGATGTGATGTTAGAGAACTATGGACACCTCCTTTTCTTGGGTGAGGATAACTCCTTCCACATTGCCCAAACCATACTCAGGGATTTGTTCCTTCCCTTGAAGACTGTCTCTTGGAATCTTCCTCTTTGCATGACTGGGATTCAGATCCCTGCAGTCAGGGAAAGAAGTAGGGGTTTGTGGATGTAGAGAAAAATCTCCATGGTGTTTCCTTTTCAGCTTTACCTTCTCTTCCTTAGGGTAACATCATCATTTCTATACATTAATGACAATTCTAATGGCTAAGTGGCATAAAACGGTATCTTTTTTGTCTTAAATACCGATTTCTACTCTTTATTGTCATGGTAGTACTCAGAGTGGAGGTCAAGATCTGAACATGGAAAATTCATCCTGCGTGTTCTAAAGGGGATGTTGGCCAACAGCATTTGGGAAATCATTTTCAAGCTTCTACTCTGTCCTCTCTGCTCTACTAAGCACAATAGTGGATCAGAAGTTAGAATCCCCAACCACACTCACATTCTTTTTTTTCTAATAAACAGGTCTTGTTGTGTCAAAGCCAGACCTGGTCATCTTTTTGGAACAAAAGAAGGATGTCTGGGCTGTGAAGAGAAAGGAGACAGTAGCTACACACCCAGGTAGGTGAAACTGAAGCAGATGACAGAGGTGAGGTCCAGTCGTGAAGGAAGAATTGGACCTCAGAATGTGGTTGAGCAGCTCTCCTTGAATGGAAATGAGGTTGAAAAGGCCAGTTTCAGGGCTCTTCCTCTCACATGGGACATCTGCTTTCCAACATACCATGCTTTCCATTCTCTAAGGATTCTCCTTCAGTTCCACTGAGGGTTCTTCACATCCACAATCTAACTGGTTCTCCATTTGCTTTGAGGTCTTGCGGAAATCTCTGTATTTCTGAGGAACTGTACGCTAATGCATTTCTGACTTCTGTTTTGCTTCTTGTGTGAAGTGTGTCAGGATAGTGGTGGGCACCTTGAGGTGAGGTGCAGAAATCCCAGGAACGCTAGAGGGAGACATCACGAGTTTTCGGGTTGATCCTTTCCAGGATTAAGGTGGCTTTCATTTTACTCATACAAAATACAGACCCAGTAATCACATCAGGTGATAAAGCAACTCCCTAATATGAGGAAATCTCATTCTTTGTTTCACTTCAAAAGTTCATTTCTTGAGTTGCCTGGTTGGCTCAGTTGGTTAAGCGTCTGGGTTGAGCTCAAGCCATGATCTGACAGTTTGAATTTGAGCCCTGCATCAGCCTCTCTGCTGTCAGTGAAGAACCCATTTGGGATCCTTTGCCTCTCTGTCTGTCTGGCACATGTTCTCTGTTTCTCAAAAATTAATATTAAAAAAAAAAAAAAAGAAAGTTCAGGATGCCTGGGTGACTCAGTTGGTTAAGAGTCCAACTCTTGGTTTGGCTCAGGGCATGATCTCAGGGTTTCTGAGTTCAAGCCCCACATAGGGTTCTGGGCTGACAGCCCAGATGGTGCTTGGTTTCTCCCTCCCTCCTACCATCCCTCCTTCCCTCCCCCTCTCCCTGCTCTTTCTCTCTCTCTCTCTCTCTGCCCTTTCCACACTGCTCTTTATCTGTCTAAATAAACTTTCATTTTCTTTGTATTAAGTAAAATAAGAAATTTCCACTCGATGTTTTGCATTCCTCAATGGTGAAATAATGTAAAGCAACTATTATTTTCATATAATTCTATATAAATTAATGACATGGGGAGCTAGGATATTTAGAAGTGAAAACTCACAGCCTATAATAAAGTCTCAATTGTTACTTTATTTCTTAATTGAATCCTTTTATGAACTTATCTTGTATAATATGAAGTCCCTGTGACTTTGTCATGTTTTCACTCTGAGGCGTTATATAGGAGATTCCTTTATGATGTATTATATCAAAAGTCCTGATATACCATGGGCATTTGCTTTATAAGAAGTGAGGCAGACAATTAGGAAACGTCCTATGTTTAGAAAAAGAGTTAATGATAAATGTCATTTCACGTGAGAAAAAAATCGCTTAATTATTTTTTTACTTTCGTCAGAATGTATCTGAATTTAATACCAAAGATTTTTTTATAAAGCGATTGTTGTCCTATTTTACATTTTTGATTGTGTTTGTTTATTTAGAAATGAAAGGTTTTGGGGCACTTGGGTGGTTCAGAGGGTTGAGCATCTGACTCTTGATTTCAACTCAGGTCATGACTTCATGGTTTGAATTTAAGCCCTAAGTCCAGTTCTGTACCCAGTGTGGAGCCCGCTTGGAATTCCCTTCTCTCTCTCCCTCTCTCCCTTTCTCTCTCAAAGTTTTTAAACATTCACAAAAAAGAAATGAAAGGTTTTTGTTTGCTTGATTCTAAAGGACGGATTATAGGGGACCTGGGTAGCTCAGTTGGTTAAGCCTTCAACTTCATCTTAGGAAATGATCTTGTGGTTTTTGACTTTGAGCCCCATATCTGGCTCTGTGCTGAGAGCTCACACAGCCTGGAGCCTGCTTCGGATTCTGTGTCTGCCTCTCTAAGTCTCCCTGGCTTGTGCGCTCTCTCTGTCTCTCTCTCTCTCTCTAAGATACATAAACATTTAAAAAATGAACAATGGATTGTACTCTGAAATCTGTGTGATAGGAGGGATCTATTAACATAACACATTGTTTAATGTCTTAAGTGCTTAATTCACAAGTTTTCATTAGAGGTTTCCATGGCTGATTTTAAGGAACATTCTTGACAATTGTAATGCCCGTGAAGACATGCCAGTAATTGAAAATGTTCCTTTTTCATGGGTACACAGTCACAGTTGAAAATTAGAGCTATAGCTAGGGGAGCCTGGGCTCTGGTCATGATCTCACGATTCATGAGTCTGAGGACTGCTTTGGGCTCTGAGCTGACACCGTGGAGCCTGCTTGGGATTCTTTCTTTCTCCCTCTTTCTCTGTTTCTCCTCTGCTTTAGGAGAGCATTCTCTCTCAAAATAAGCTTTAAGAAATATCTGCATTTATCATGGGCTTTTGTTAAATACTTCATCATTATTATGTAGAATTTTTTGGGCTACATTTTGTCTGGTCTTGCCATTCCATAATAATGTGCTTCCTTTTGTATGGAACTTCCCACAGCATTATTTAGGTGGGATTTTGCTTTTACCGTTGTATTTTGTTTTAGGGTCACAATTTTTTTTTTAATTTTTTTTTATCTCTTATTTTACTCTTGAAGGTGAGAGAGAGAGAGGAGAGAATGTGAGTGGGGGTGGGGCAGAGAGAGAGGGAGACACAGAATCTGAAGCAGGCTCCAGGCTCTGAGCTGTCAGCACAGAGCCGATGCGGGGCTCCAACTCATGAACCCCGAGATCATGACCTGAGCTGAAGTCCAACACTTAACCGAATGAGCCACTGAAGCAACCCTCAACTCAGGACATGAATCCCCAAACTGGGAGACCATGCCTTAACTGAAATCAGGAATTGTACACATAACCGAATGAGCCACCTTCATGCCCCTAACACACTGTTTTAAGCCGATAGTGTCAATTTTATACAAATTCTTCTACTTATCATCTCTGCACCTGCACCCACTGTATGTTGATGACATCATCAATTCTATTTTTATATTGCATATATTATTACCTAGATTTGATTTTTATGCTTTCAGAAAAAGACTGTAGCAGAAATAAATGTGACTTGCCCTACCTTGTTACAACACTACAGGTTTCTATAATTGTGTAAATATTTATACTTCTCAGAGCTTTAGGTTATCATGTGTTTTCAGTTACTGTTTAGAATCTCTTTAGTTCAACAAGGACTTTTTTTTAAAAATGTTTCATGTTTATTTATATTTTGAGAAAGACACAGAGACAGAATCTGAAGCAGGCTCCAGGCACTAAGTCGTCAGCAAGATAGTAACACAGGGCTCGAAGTCACGAACCATGAGAACATGACTTGAGCCAAAGTTGGATACTTGGCAAACCGACGCACCCAGGTGCCCCTAGAAGGACTTTCTTTAACATTTCTTGTAGGGGCACCTGGGAGGCTCAGTCGGTTGAGCGTCCGGCTTCGGCTCAGGTCATGATCTCACAGTCTGTGAGTTCGAGCCCCGCATCGGGCTCTATGCTGACAGCACGGAGGCGGGAGCCTACTTCGGATTCTGTGTCTCCCTCTCTCTCTGCCCCTCCCCTGCTCATGCTCTGCCTCTCTCTGTCTCAAAAATAAATAACATTTAAAAAAAGTTACAAAAACATTTCTTGTAAGACAGATCTGCTGATAAACTTAGAGGGGTTTTGCCTTGGCAAAGTCTTCATTTCTACATGCATGGAAAACAGCTGTGCCAGGTAGGGCATTCTTGGTGGACATTTTTTGATCTTTCAGTATTTGAATACATCATTCAATGCTTTTCTTTCTATAACATCTACTGAGAACCCCACTAACAATCTTGTAGGAGCTCTGTTGTACAAGATAAGTTGCCTTTGTCAAGCTTTTCAAAATTCTCTTTTCACTGGTCATTTTTGGTCGTTAATTACAACTGTGTTCATGTCTTGTCTTTTTTCCTTCAATTTTTATTTAAATTTTAATTAGGTAATATGCAGTGCAATATTGATTTCAGTATAATTCATTCAGTGGCTCATCATTTGCATACAGTGCTCATCATAACAAGTGTTTTCCTTAATAGCCATCACCAAGCAAACTGTCCCTCACCCATCTCCCGCCATTGATACTTATCCTACTGTGAATTTACTGTCCTTGTGAATTTGTCTCTCCTTTCCACATACAGGGGAACTACAAGCCTTTAGTTATTCGTGGAAACTCTGCCCCCTTTTACTCTGCTCTCTTTATGGGGTCCCCATAATGTACACATTGGTCCACTTGTAGGTGTCCCATGTATCCCGAGTCTTTGTTCTTTTCCACATTTTTCTTTGGTCCTCTTAGGTAATT